TTACTTATGAATTTTCTTTCAAAATGACTGATTTAACTCTTTTACTGAAAAGTAATGCGCATATATGGTCTTGGATCATGCTAATAAACCGAGAATAATACAATTTACGGAACTCAATTCGGACTTAAAACGAACGTTTACCGTAAAACTGAAAATTCTAAAATTTAAATTCTTTACTCACAGTTTTTCTTCAATTTAATGAACATATTGCTTCTTAGGATCTAATATAATTATCTTGAAATATTCTACATTTATGGAACCACATTCGGACTTAACCGAACGATTACCGTAAAACTGAAAATTCTAAAAATTTCGGTTTCTCTTAAAATAATTTAAATAGACTATAATGTCTAAATAAAACTGCCCGAGAAGGCCAGTGAGGTTCCAACTTTAGTAAATTTAGGCACTTCTTTGAACATTTATCACTTAAATGTTCATGGATACTTAACCGCACTTCGAGACTTAACTTGTATCAACTTATGCTAAGGTTCGATATTATGATCTTATCTTGATGACTTAAACACTTAGAAAAATTCTAAGTATTTAGTACTAAGGCTCGGCTATTTCTTAATTAAGTTCAACTCATGACCGAACATACTTGGCTTCAGTTCACTATTTATCTTAAACGATTAATCAAAATATACTCAATTTCGATTATTCGTCATCTTATATTAATTAATCCCGTCTTATAAATCCATTTATAAAAATAAACAGACCGGAATTAATTAATTACTGAACTGGCTCGATTACTGAATAATATTGAACTGAGAATACTTTCGACTTAAAGTCAAATTTTTAACTAAATAACTTAATAACTGGCTCGGAACTAGGAACGGGCATTAATAAAAGTAATTAGTTCATACTCAGAATAATTACTTTTATTAATTACTGAATGGGATATTACAGACAGCCTAAGATGATAACGACCAGGTCCTGTGTGGACAACCTTGGATTTGTAATGGTCAGGCCATCTTGTGACATGGGGATTGATCATGTCTTCGAGATCCACTTTGTTTGTTAGGATGATTCCTGTTGGCATGGTGATCGTCGTAAATTCGTTAAGATATATTGAGGGAAAGCGATCACGAAGGTGATGCCACATAAATTGCATCTAGTGAATAAATTGATCATTGATCTATTCCCTCTCACCTTATTGTATTAGTCCATCAGGTAGAGTGAAAAGAAAGAGTTTGATTGAACTCTTTCATCTCTTAAACTCGTTCAAGTGAGTAAAATGAGTCCTAATGGTCGCCGTTGTGCCTCATGGACAAAGGAAAATACTTTCAAAATTTCTCTAGGAAGAAAGATATAAGAGTACAAGTCATCTTGAATTGTAAAAGGTCAAGGAGTTGGTTGCAAGGACATGTGCGACTTTACGGGACAACGATCTAAAGAAGAAATATGCCGAAGCAATTGATAAAGTTCTTGTAGTTGCCTTTGGTTGTTCCCGCCCTTTAGTGAAGATCATCTTGTAATGATTGCCAAGGTGTCTTGACATGGTCGTCGCTTTACTAGGACATTAATAATTTGCCATTTGTATGTGGTAAGGTCTCGCCTTTGAATTTTTGGAAGTTCTTTTGGCGGTCAATAGATACTTAAGAGCGAGCTTTTAATAGGAGATCGTTTTTGGTAATTAAGAGACGATCAAGAATATTTTGTAGAAACAACCTTTCTAATGTCTTTCATGAGACCGCCTCATTTTAAAGAAAAGATCGCCGAACATCCAAAGTATTTTTTGCAAAGATCGTCTTGTTGTAAGAATTTAATTGTCGATTGATTGAAGTGTCATTGTGGAGATCGCTCCCACCTTGTACGGGTTTTGTTTTGTTATCAATGGGTCGGATGGTCTTTGATAAGCCGAAAATATTTTTGAGGAGATTGTCAATTGTCTTGTAATAAGAATATCATCGACGAATCGAAGCACTTTCGCGTAGATTTGTTAGTGGGTCGAGGTACACCCGCTTTGTGTTGAGATCGTCGGGCAAAGTTGAATGTTAATTGGACGTCGGCCTTATGCACGTTTGTCTCTTGCAATATCATGATGTGCGGTTGGAATTTTATATGTAACAATCAGAAATATAACGATCTCGTTGAAATATTACAATGTTGGGATCCCATATACAATATAAGGGCGGGGAGTGTGTAAAAAGAATCAAGAGTACATTTTTATGTGAAAAGTATCACAAAACTAACAGTTTGAACATGTGTAACTTTGTCGACCTATACATATTTAGTATAAAAAGTTTGCTATTCTAGATATGGATGATAAGAAACCCTCATTTGTTGTCATGATGACATTACTGTAGATCGACTTGGCCGCCTGTTTGCAGAAATGATGGTTGATTGGCATGTTGTTCTTTCACAAACAAGATATTAGATCAGCCCTTTTCTGTGAGAACAGCAGCGACGGTCGAGGATGGACAAAAAATTTACATATGACGCTCTTGCCATGGGATGATATTCTACTGAAATATCCCAAGGAGAATCACTGCATAGATCAGGGGTAATTATGCTGATCGGCCAGATCACCATTTGGAAGCACCCTCTATTTGTACTTTGAAAAACACTGGATTTTCTCAAGTAATTTCGAACTTTTTTTAAAACAATTTAACTTTTAAAACTTTTCTTAGGGTACTTACTTAAAAACTCTTTCTTATCTTTGTTTTTTAAAATACTTTCTTCCTTTTCTTTTTAACTTAACCTAAGGCTCACAGTTAGGTCTTTTAGAGCAATCACTTCCCAAACTTATTACTTGCTTCTCAACAACCAAGACATAATTAAAACATTCAAATTTTTAGTCTCGATGAATAATAACTAATCTTAGTCTCAAAATATGAAAAGCTAAAACATGCAATTAATTCAAAAACTGTTCGCCGAAGCATAAGGTTAAACATTATTTAGCCCACCATCTCGTCAATTTGTGTCCACCGNATAAAAATATATATTATATTTTAAGCATGAAACATGTAAAACTGATCTCATCTGGTAGCCCTTCATAAGCATCACCCTTCACAGGCGTAATACACCTGGTTGCCCTTCACATGCATCGCCTTTCACAGGTGAAATGTAACTATTTTGCCCTTCCCAGGCCGAGCACTCACATCACCCATCACAGGCGACATGTAACTGTTTTGCCCTTTGCAGGCCGAGCACTCACATCTCCCATTGTAGGCGACATGTAACACATCACATAAATAAAACATAATATCTCACATTTATTAAAAAAAATAAGGTTATTGCCTTTTGGCGTTGTTTTAATAAAATCGTTTATGTCGTTGGAAAAAAAAAAAAAGCTACCAAGGTTTGAAATTTGCATTAGCAAGGAGGTGCCAAAAACTCAAAAGTAATGGGCCGAATAATCTCATCCGAATGGGGCCAGTTTTGGAGTCGCTTGACAAAATGGCTAAGTAAGGCTCACAGAGTCGATCGCACTCAAACTTACAAAAACGAACGATTTACGTTTGACGAAAATAATAAAATTGAAAAATAATTTAAGTAGACGAAGACATTTACAAAAATTATTTAACTTATTAGATTAAGAAGACGATGACATCTAAATAAGCATAATATGCTCATTTGAGAAATTTGTCGAGAAAAAGAAAAATAAAATAAATGCAATGCAATTAAATAAAACACACCGACTCTTATAAAACGAATGAGGCACTACAAGTTGCACCTGGGCCTTGCTTTCATTTTGATTGGATGTTTTTTGGTTGTAACAAAACCGTTATATTTTGCATTAATCAAGTAATTATATTTTATTATTTAATTACATAATAGCTACTACTAATAAATCATAAAGTCATACCTATAAAAAAAATAAAAATAAATCATAAAGTCACACGATTTATTGCAAACTTTTGCTCAACATCATTGCAGAACTTTTTTTTTCCATACTATTATCATTATTATCTTTATCTTTTCAGCTCATTAATCATTTTTTATTTAAGCATCAGTTATTTTTTATGGCATAAACAAATCCTTTAAATTTTAACACACAATTAATAAAATAATAATTTCAATATTATTTCTTTAATATAAATGATTATAATCACTAAACAAATATACTATTCAATTAATACAATGATTTATATGTAAGTTAAGTACCTTATATTATATCGTTCATGTTACCAATAAAATTTATGATTTTAAATATTATACACACATACATGTGTCATAAAAATTTATTTGAATATGTGCATGTGCACATACTAATTTATAATAAAATTCATTTTTCACATAATATAATACAATGAACTTCTCCTCTCTGGGATCCTGTTCAATACATAAATGTACTAGTGCAACTAATCAGTCAAGACAAACTGTACATTTGTTTGTCCTCGGTTAATTATTGAATCAACTAATCAGTCTTTTGTATTGAATCAACTAATCATTTACGACGATCAGTATAAAATGAACTTCTCCTCTCTGGGATCCTGTTCAATACATAAATGTACTAGTGCAACTAATCAGTCAAGACAAACTGTACAGTTGACACTACAATCGTTCGGATGGAGTGTTCATGTCCATCTAGGTTATGAACAACTATTCTTGTTTGCAAGTAACTGATAGAGTGATCTTCGGTTCGCTCGATGACGACTCACTCTATCTAAGTGCAGAACAACAGAACATAGAACTTGTTTAATCTAACATCATTCTCATTCATAAAGGGCAAATGTGTAATAACATGCAAAGCCAAGCTTTCAGTATATAACACTAATAGGGCTTCCTTTGAGAATTGAAAAAAACAAGAGAGTTATTTTTCAATTTGTGAGTGAGAGAGTTAAATAGAGAGTTTGTAGTTGGAAGAATGGGTTCTTAAGTGAAGCAGGTAGAGAGGTGTTAATTAAATCAATATTAGATGCTCTGCCCACTTTTGTTATGTCTTGTTTTAGGATCTGGATGCTATTTGTAAATCTATTTGTAAGGATGTTGCTAATTTTTGGTGGGGAAAAGGGGTGGAGGGTAGAAATAAGATTCATTGGGCAACATAGGATAAAATGGCAAAAAACAAAGAGAATGGGGGATTAGGTTTTAGAAATCTTAGAGTTTTTAATGAAGCCATGTTAGTTAAACAATTATGGAGACTGATAACCAAACCTAACCTGCTGGTCAGTAGGGTTTTGAAAGGAAAGTATTTCTGGAAAGAGCAACTTATGGAGGTTAAATGCAAGAATTCTGATTCCTGGATGTGGAGGACTTGGATGGAAGCACAATCTCTAAAACTGGGCATGAGATACAGGGTGGGAGATGGTCATCTCATCAATATTTGAAAGTCCCCTTGGCTACCATCTCAGCCATCTTTTATCCATGTATGTCAATTCCCTAGTGACAGAGATAGATTGCAAAAAGTTGAAGATCTGATTTTGCAAGAAACAAAGGAATGGGATGTTGAACTAATCCACAAAACTTTCAGCCCAACTGATGCAGCTGCAATCATCAAGATGCCCTTTAGTCACAGTGGCCAGAAGGATAGAATAATATGGCATTGGCACCCGCAAGGAGAATTTTCTGTCAAATCAGTCTATAAATGCCTAATGCAGAAGAGATCCCAGGAAGAACCAGGTTCTAGTCATGCAGGTCCTCTTATCAAACAGATGTGGAAAAACACATGGAAACTCCCTATTAAAGGTAAAGTTAAGAATTTTCTCTGGAGATGTTGGTTTGGCTTTCTAAGCACAGGGGTGAAGCTGAAATAGAAGAAAATGGAGTGATGTGTGGTGCCCTGTGTGTGGGGAAGAGCAAGAAGATTTGTAGCATATTTTATTTAATTGTGTCAGAGCTAGAACCTGTTGGAAGATCATTGGGATTCAGTGGGATTGTTTGGATGTGCACAAAGCTTCTTTCAAGTACTGGTGGTTTGAGGTGTGCTCAAAGAGTAATGACCCAGGACTGGTGGACAGAATAAGTCTTTCAAGCTACCTTCTTTGGTGGCTTTGGAAGACTAGAAATGGATAGATTGTGAAAAAGTTCGGGCACCAGAGACTGTTATTGCTAGAAAGGCTCAGGAGGAATGGCTTGAATTTTCAGACAGTTGCAGGGGGTGGCAGAAAGAAGTAGAAATCAAGGGCAGGACAATGGGGGGCAGGAGGTTGAAGTGGAGGATTCTCATAGTGGAGTAGGGCAGGCTCATCTAGCTGTTAGTACTCTATCCAACATTTCAGGCTGGTTGGGATTTGAAGGAGGAGTACTCAGAGAAGGTGTTTTGATCCAGCAGTGGTCAGAGGCTAAACAATTTGCAGGAACTAAGGAAGAAGGGAAGCTGCTGGCAATCAGGTGGATTTTAGAGAAGCATTGGGTGCAGATATTGAAGAACTCACATGCTATGTGGATGACAGAACAATAGCATCAAAACTAAAGAATCAAAACACCTTTCATTGTTATACTGATATTGTTGCTGCAGAAATATATGCCTTAGTCTCTTGCCTAAAGACTTGTAAATTTGTTTTTGATAGTAATTGTGTTCCCTTTCTGTTTCTTTAGCCAAGATGGCTCTTCATGAAAAGCTAAATGTAGTTTAACCGTATGAAGGTGCTCTAGTTGGCTAGATAGTACTCTTCTGTAGTCATTTGACTAACCGTCTGTAAATTATTTGAGTTTTTATGAAGTTGAGTTTATCTNNNNAAAAGAATTACCACTAAACATCAGGGGAGTCATTCTTAGAGGCATTAACCATCAACCATATGTAACATACGGGATTATTTCATTTTTAACAGCGCACATTTATATGTCTCGACTTTGATTCAATCTCCTTGTAATTTTTTAGCCATTATTTTGACATTCACAAATACCACAAATAGTCAAATAGAGAGCAGCTGAGCAGGTGCAGAGCCGTACTCTTTATTTTGCACTAAAAATAAAAATATAACAAGACACTGTCCAAATATTGTCTTCTAGCCTAAGCCACATCTTTTAAATTCAGCATGTAATGTAGTGGATTTCACAATGTTAAAAAACCCCGGCAAGAGCTACAAATGTATAAACCCCAACCAGCTGTCACGTCCAAAAATGTCTATTTTAACTTACAATTATAGCCTTACCTTAAACCACTTTTAATGTTACAAATTCTTTTTAACCCCTCAAGAAACTCAATCTCAACTTCTATTCCTTATTGTTCAAATAGTGAAGGATCAAGGCATCACCATCGCAATTAACGACAGTAGGGCATATTCTCGTATAAATGGCACAAAAATTCACTTCACAACTTCCGCAAAACCATCAACGAAACAAGAATCCATCAATTAAAACTGTGTTAAGAGGCTTGAACTGCCAGCCGCTGAAGGTGATCAATGAAAACTTGTAGACTCACGTCATCAGTGAATATCACATCAGAGCCAGTATTCATCATCTCGTGCGCATTGCTGTAAGTGGCCGAAGGATTCAATTTCGCCAATAGAAATCTTGCCTGTACCAATCATGTCCAATCATTTAAAAAAAATAGAAAATAAGGAAAAGAAAATTAGGGAATAACAGATGTCTCAACCAAAAAAACATAAAAACACCCATTAATGAATGATGCCAAAGAGAATTCAAACATAACTTTGTGTACTTTTGAAGTCAGTATTCACAAATTCCAATATTATCTCGACCTGTCTACAGGTGAATACCAAACTTAAAAGTTTCTTTTTACTTCTTTAAGCTGCAAAACGTTGATTATTGTCTCGATAAAGATGAGATTAGAAAGATGTAAAAGAAATGTGACAAGTGAAAGACTGAAATAATATCTCCATCTCCAAAGGCATTTCAAAGCCAGGATTCAAGTTATACGCATAAGGAAATAATACAGGTTCACAACACATTGCATTAGATTCCTAAACAGGTGCAGCGTATCTATATAAGAACTTCGTGTATATCAAAATAAAAACTTAATGAACTATTCTGAGCAACAGAATATCATGAAGTGATAATTCAGTACAGATTAAACACAAACATCACAGTTACATAAAGCAACAACACAGAAAATAATTTTTCCGTCTCACCAAAAGAAAAAAAAAAAATGTAACCAAGCAAATCCATACTGATGTCCCAGAATGTGACGTTTTAGTAGATAGAATAATATAAAACTAAAAAGAGATAATACTAGAGTTAAAACATTCGCCTTAATGAGTTGATTCACAACTTCTGCAGTGAAGACTTGAGTTACAGATACAAATAAAAATGCTTGACAATAATGTGCACAATACCTGAGAGCCATGCTGATCACAAACCACAAGTCTCGGTACAGGAAAACGGTCACGAATTATTAATTGTGCATCTTCTTGTGGGGCTTGCAATAATTCGGCAAAAGCCTACGAAATGGGCAGGGAGATTTATTACATGAAAGGTTTATCATATTCATATAAATATGGAAAAAATGTGCATATCAGTTGAAGGACAAGGACCCACCTTGCTAGCATTTAAGTTGTATTTAGGGCACAACGTACACTAAACAATACGATAGGATTTGAAATTTCCAAACAGCCCTATGCATTTAAAACTCCTTGAGGGAAAATTATATAACCATGTAAAGAAAAGGAAAGAAAGAAAGACTGGAGAAGACAAGTTAAAAAACTGACGTGGAGGAAATTTTTGGTTCTATATACCAGCAGGAAGAAATCATTGTGCAAGAACCCAACAAAACACACCACTCGTTCACATATAACCACGTATAAAGAAAATTCACGCAATCCATCTACTATAAGTTAATCTCTATGAGTTTACACAGCGTAGTTGAATTGAGAATACATCAATAAGAAGATGTTTGGATATTTCTAGGGATCAAGTATTCATTGGACCTAGGAATATAACTATTCTTCCCCAAATAGAGAGTAACGAAGTTTAGATCTCCAGATAAGGAAAATGATAGCAAACATAGGCCACTTTCAAGAGAAAAGCCAACTTAACCACTCCCATTTCCCATAAGCATTTCAAGATTAACAAAAATCCACCACCCAACCGAAAAACATAAAGCATAAATGGAACACACCTTATGTTCTGGCTGATTCTGGTAGCCCATATTCCTCCACTGTGCAATTGTCATTCCATGAAAGATAACAACACTAAAGTACGAATCTAGCAAGAGAATACGATCAGCTGCAATGGATTGGACGTCAAGCAAAGCTGGTGCAGGCAGTGAATTAAAAGCGTATGATATTAAGGAGGGCTGGATCATGACTGCAGCATTGGTTATAGTTTCCCGGTTCAATAAAATGCGGAAATAGGCAGTCTCATCCGGACTATTGTTAAATACCTGAGATATAGGTAAAACAGAGATATCAAGTTATAGCATATCATGTGTTGAACAATGGACAAACATTATATATAGTATACCTGTACAAATTGTGATCTTCGTAGATTAAACATGAACTGAGGGAACAACGAAAAGCAGGGATTCAATGTAAATGACGCTGGATCATCCTTCCGATAATCCCCAAACTTGGAACACAGGCGAATCAGATTTCTATCCAACCACCTTGTAGCATCAAAACCTTCCTGAAACGAAAATGCCCATCAATTTACTTTGGTTAATCAAATTAAATGTACTATTTTCGTTATAGGTCCAACAACGATTTACAAATCCAACATCATCTGCATAAGGTTGAATAAGTTATTTTCCACCATTGAAGCCCTTAATTTGAGTATAAACGTTAGTGTATGTATAAATAATTCTCTTTGTATATGAGTGATGGAATAGTTACAAACAATTCAGATTATACACTTTCTATCAACAAGAAGCGAATTTTATCACCAATAAGTTGGGTAGTGTTTTCTAAGGTAGTCCTGAAAAATATAAAGTTATGATTAAACTTTGTAGCATTAAATGCAGCTTAATTGTATAAGAAACATAGATAATCAGACTGCTGAGCCGTCAGTGAACTGAAACCTCAAATAAAAAAATTTATCAATTTCCAACAATAAATTTCTCCATTCCTAACCCCTCACCGACTCGCATTTTTTAAATGAGAAACTACAGTAGCAAACCTATTTGTACATGAAATATATCAGAGTCAGATAAAAAGTAACATAAAGGTAAATTATATGAAATGCTATACATGGGAAAAATTAGAATGGACTGAGTGGCAAGTATATAAAAACTGCTGTAGACCTGGTACAGGACTTAAAACGTAAGTTCCTTTATGTTTGATACATACATGACCCAATTCTTTCATGCACATGCATTCAAAGATAAGATCTTTAAAAATGGGTCCCATTTTTCATTTGTCAGTGTTCCCCATTTCAAGATTATGAATGCTCATTATTTCAATCTTGCCACAATTTGCATCACCTCCAGTAGAAGAAAATAATAATTCAAAAAAGAAATGTAGAGCTAAGTAATGGGCCAAAATTAAGCCTAGATACTCCTAAATCCTTGACAGCTATGTCATTAGGGACTAAAAGCAGTCCTCCAAATGTATCTAAAGTTTACTATCTTATTACCTCCATTTCCATTTTATAAGAAGCTAGCCGAGCCATTACTACAGCAGCAACCTCCTGATCAAATCCTTGAATTAAATCCTGCAGGCACAGGGAAACTTACAAATGACATTTACAGAACTTGAAAAGACAAAATCAATGAAAAGGCTTCAGCATGTTAAATGAGCAATTAAAAGGGGAAAAAGAGTCAAACATGTTCAGAAACACGTTTAAACCCTTAAAGCAAATAAGTTGGCTAAATAGCAATAGTTTTTAAAACAAAAGAATGAATTAACAGATGAAGCCAGGAGCTGTAATAGAAGAAAATAAAACATGGCACAATGGACTGTAAACACTAATTATCCTACCTCATTGCCCAATGTACTATCTACCCAACGTCTAGTGACGGTAGTGACTCGAAGCCGCATCTGACCATCAGAAGTCTGATAACTGTGTCCAAGAGAATAGTTGGTACTAATTTCAGATTTTTATGTTGGTAAAATATATAAGTAATATGATAAATCATTATCACACATCACTTAATTGTCTTAAAAGGCACACAATGGGAGAATCTCAAATACCTAGTTAGAAACTGTATATATAGTTGAGGATTTGGACCTGCAGGATCAGACTTTTCACTAGAAGAAACATCAAAGAAAACAGTTAAACAAGTATTTCTGTCAAGGCCACACATCTTCCACGCTGTAGTGTTCCCTTGCCCTGTAACTGTGCTGGAAACAGCAGGCCCTTTCTGCAAAAACAGTTCCTCAGATCAGCATCAAGCTAGATACCAAGACAACGTATCAAAGTACAAAATTTCAAGAGATTATGTTCTTCTATTTATAGCTGTGATATCAGAATGTTTCCAATGTGAGTATAATAACATTTCGATGTACAAACCTTCTCTAACGAAGTGCATGGCCCAATAATTCCTTGGACTTTTATATCCTTTGAGCAGCTGATCTCCAGTGTGCCACTAAAACACATTCAATGTTTCAATATTACATCCCATGAATGTTGTTCCATCATAAGAAACAACCTAACCATTGTTTCAACAAACTTCAAACCAGAAACCACAAGTAATGCCACTTAATGCTGTTTTAAGATTTCCTTTTGCCCCATGATTAATACCATCCCCAAAACTGAAAGACTCACAAGAGATTAAAAAGTTACCAACTGAACAGAATTTCAGCGTTTCACTCGTGTTTAAAAAAGAATAATCATATGCAAACTTATCTGATAAAACAAACAGGGATAACGGCAAACCAGATGAGGGTTCATGCTTTAACACAAAATCAGAAGGTTGGTTCTCTAATGTAAAGCAAGCCATTAAAACAAAGAGTCAGGTAGTTGATAAAAAAAGAATGTGATAAACTGTATACCTACACAGGCAGATAGGTCAAATTAAAGAATCTGGGGGGCTAGAATTTCCAATAGATGCAAGAACAAATGAATTTATGTAGAGACCCAACGAATAAGGCATTGTATGAGGAGATGGTGCTTCTATAAAACAAAAGGAAACAGAGCACGGAACAAATTATGACCACAAAAATACAAGGTATCCAACATTTGATATATCTGTCACAGAAGAAATGCCTCTACTCAAATTCTTAAAGGACACAACTAACTCATATTTTAAGCTAGCTGGATTTGAGATCGATTTTATGATAAAAGATATAATCTAGTCAATAGCAACTCACTTGAATGAAAGGCCCAGGGATTGTTCCCCATCTTCAAAAATGCGCTTGAAGGAATCCTTGAAAACAGAATGACCAAAACTTTCAGATAGCACGACGAGTCCACCAGTTTTTTCAATAGCAACCTTCATTTCAGCAATCCCAACCTGTAAAGCCAGAAAGGAATGTGATTAAAATCAACTGGAGGATAAAACACTGGTACATGAATCAAAATCATAAATGATCAAAATAGTGTTTGTAAGGACATTTTATTAAGAGTACTATAGCGGGGACCCGGGGGTGGGGGGGGTGTTAGTAGGATAAGGGGAGCAATAAAATTTGTATAGCATGAGTGATATTTTACAACTGTCAACATGCATGTGAGTCTAATAATGGATAAAAAAAAGCAATAACACGCTTCCATTAGTTGAAGAGATCCAGTCATTTTTGTAATAGTAAGTTGTGTTTTTAATGAATAAAATAAAATGTTCCATTTCTTATCAGGAAATCAACTAATAAATAAACAAAGTCCACCCGCACTGGTAGAGATTTAGCGATTGCGAATTTTTGGAATCATTGGGCAACTTTTGTTTTTCTTCTAGGCGAATACAATATAATAACAACTTTTGTTTTGGAATCATACACCTAAAAATTACTTGCTAAATGGCAATTGGCACATACAGTATGCCAGTCGCTTCTCATGGATCATTCCACAGTCTGCTACGTCTTTTAAAGAACTGATTAATCGGACGGGAATAAAGCTAGAGTCCCATTCTACATCTCTAGAGTTAATAATTTGATATGAGGAACTACTGCAGCTCCTTATTAATGTAGGAGGAATAAATGTTTCAATTATTTTTGCATCCAATAGTATTTAACATCCAACAAACTGCTAAACTTTCAAAATAACTGATTCACTTTTTCATCACCATTTCATAGTAACATTTAATTCTCGCTTACTTTCTATAATTAATCTACATAGTACATCAGCCAGCATGAAGACTGAAGTTATAATCCAATCTCTAATCTTTAGTCAACTTTAATGGAAGAAATACAAAAAGGCTAGGGATATGCACTAGTAACTGTACGGCACCAACCTGATCTAGTGCAGAAGCAAAAACATCCAACACATGGCCCTGATTAACCAACTGTTTACCAAGTTCGTCATAGAACTGGACTGCTTTTCTAAAGAAAGGAGCTGCATCCTTGTCAAGATCCTTGTGTGAACGCACAGGATCAGACAAATCTTTTGATACAATCTACAACAGAAGGAAAACCTACAGTTACCATCTTGACAAGACAAATGAAATCATATGTAATTAAAATGACCATCGTAATTAGATTGATGTAGTATGAGTGAATGGAAAATAAATAAATGCATATGGCAGAAAAGACGCTTTCTGTTTCACACTAAAGCACAAAGTAATGGCATATTAGTTAGTTGGAAGGCATTTAAATACATATTAATGGCATTAATCAAAGTTGCAGAGTTCAGAGGTATACATATAATTACCGCACAAGCAAATATGACAATACCCGCAACAGGAGAAGACAGCATCTATATCAGTAGAACAGAAACAATAATACTCCTTAGATATCTGGCGTACATTTAGTGAGTCAATAAAATGTACTCCAACATACACAGATTTGCAGGAGAAGTAAGTTGAAAGAGAAAATATCAAAGTGGCATGCAATCACCTATATCCATATAAAATTGCAGCCTAGACATTGTACACAATCCAAGAATGATATGATGTAACCATCATATAAAATATCATAGCAAAAATGTGGCTCAACTAGTAATTAATAATCTCCCCTTGGGGGAAGGGGAGGTATTAACAAAATCCAGTCTGAAATAAACTTTCTTCGATTAATTTTTAAATACATGGAGTGGTGACACATCATCTATCTCTAATCAGAAATTCCTGCTTTTAAATGAAGAAATTGGATCAAACAAGTGCTTATTCATCATCAACTGAAAAAAGACATAACAAATTCAATAACCAACATGAGTGAAGGAACAATGAGGATTGTGTTTTATGTTCCACGCTATCTCCAGAATATCAATGTTCATGCTCAAAAAGAAAAAGACACATCATTATCAAGGGTTGTGTTAATGGGAGAAGTCAAATCAAAGAAAACAAATAAAAGATTAACACACAGACGAACATCTTATATTTATAAGAAGTGCAAAGCTTTACCGCTCCAGGACCTTCAGTACATGGACCCCCCACCAACGCAATAATTCGTGCACCAGTTCCCAAAGGAGACGCACCAAGCAACCCTACTGCAACACTCAATGCAACTCCAGTACACCTCAGTGCCCTGTTACCTGGTGCCACAGGCCATTGGTCGGTAGCCAATTCATCCAACAACTGTAGCATATAAGAGAAGCAAAAGGAAAACAAAAACAAGCAAGCCTCAAACATTTGACAATAAAACTTCCTTGTATCTTCTTATTTCACGCAACGAATTCCAAACGCAAAGAGCCAAAGCCAAGAACTAGTTCCGACAACAATAGAATAATTATTAAGCAACACACTTTCCAAACACACAAGATAACATAACATAACAAATGAAATTACCGAATCAAGTGCATATTCACATTCAGATGCAGGTAATAAGAACCGATTAATCCCTGCATTGGGACCAGACCCAGCCATTGGGCTAGGTCCACCACCACCCTTCTGAATACCCCGTCTACCACCAGAAACACCAAGTCCCAGCTGCTCCAACACTTGATCTTTAGACAAGTCTCTCGAACCCCTGAACACATACACCTTAGACATCTCCGAGAACCCCAGCTCATGAACCTGAACCTGTGTACCATAAGATATAAAACCAACCATGGCATTATCAGGAAGCATCCCAACAGCCCGTTTAAGAGCCGATTTGGCAAACTCCAACTCCTCCTCGATCATGCAAGTATCAAGAACAAACAGATAAATAGGAGATGGAACAAAGGCAGGGTTGTAATTCTGCGGGTTCTGGTAATTAGGGATTGAGTACTCGATCGAGGGGAAATTAGGGTACAACTCGGCAGGCATATTCGTCTGCGAAAGTGATGAATAATGCTGCGGAAAATGGTTTCTCTGAAAGCAAAATGGGCAGATCCATATCAGGGCCGTGAAGTCAACCCGGCAAAAGGGGTTTAACACTGAGGAACACGACTTGCATCGGAGGGGTGCGTACGGAAGGATCTGCAGATCCACATGTGGGCGGATCGGCTGAATCGAGGCCGCTATTGGGATCACGCACTTTGAAGCCTCCACCTTGGATCGCGGCCAGTTGAGCCACGTCATCCGAACTCCTTCAATCCCCTCCGGGTCGGTTTGAGCAAACTCCGGCGTCGCCATTGATGAATCAAATATCCGTGCAGTCGGATATTCAGAGGAGGATGCGATTGAAGCAGTTTTGGATTCTTGAGAAATTCTGCAATTGGGCGACCCCAGGGATAGTGAAGAGGGAAGGGGGGTCACGCCGAGAGAAAAGAGCCAGCAAAGATGCGTGATTGTCAATCTCGACTTGTGCCTATAGGCTATAG